CAGGAAGGCCTGGCGCGATGTGGTTCATGGGGTCACGAAGAGTCGGACACGACTTAACGACTAAACAACAACTTTTGAAACAAATTCAAGTGTTTCCTTTGGCCTTTTAATCATTTCCAAAAGTTGGTTTCCCATTCTTTTGGAAGCATTTTCTCTCTTTTTCAAACTATCTAGCTTTCGCACACAGACAGGCAACATTTGTCACTATTCTTTTTCTCTGTGCTAATTGGCCTTGAATACCCATGACCTGAATGCCACCATGGTTACTTCTGCTACCACAGCTTAGCCTCTCTGCTCCTTCGTTAAACATGCCTTGAAAATGCGGGCTGAACCCTCTCCACCTTCGATCATTGGTTTCCCCCCCAACCCCAGCTCTGAGTCCAAGGGGATGGTGAAAGGCCATTAACAGGTAATTAATCCAAGATTTCAGGAGATAACAGCCCAATAAACAAGCTTTAGGCAAGTTGCCCTATGTTGTTTGAGTTGTGAAAGGCTCTCTTATTTCTCACATCCCCAGAAGATTAAGGTCTCATTTTCCTCCTCACAAAAACAAAAAACTATCTTCTCCCTTGCAATTCCAGCAGGAAGCTGAATTAGTCCTGACCAAAAGCATTAACTGCCCATGTTTTCCCCAAATCTCCCCTTCCTCTCTGCTAAAGAAGACCCCTGGGTTTTAAAAGGCTTTGCAAAAAGAGTGAAAGAACATCTCATCGACCTGGAGAAAGTGGCCCTTGCAACTTTTCCATTTGGAGATCGAAGACCCTGAAGCCAGAGAGAGGCACTGGCTGTTTTGCCCAATGGCCCGTAAAGAAAGGACTGCAAGCCCACATCTCTGGCTAGCAGCAAAAGGGAAGGGGGGAGAAAAATGGGACAAGGTCCCAGTCCCCCTTGTGAGAGCCAGAGCAGAACTTCACCCAAACGGCCCTTGGCCTCCCAAGGAACTCCTTTGCAGGGCATCTGCTCTCTCGGAGGAACCGAGAGATCGAAGGGTGCGGGGAGGTGGTCTGAGCGAGGATGCCCCGTCCCTTACCTGGGAGCAGTCACCCTTCTGAGGTTGTCTGAGGTCAAATCACTGCCTTCTCCTCAACTTGGGAGCTTCTGCAGGGCACCTCCTGGCTCCCTTGGGGATTAGTGTGGAAAAGCAAAATCCCTGAGGGATGCCTTGGGGTGCAAATCCAGTTTGTGTCACCCCAGCTTTGCCTGGGCACTCAGAGGAGGAGGAGAGCCCTGGGGAGGCAGAGGGAGTCTTCCCAGGAGCTGGCTGGCGGCAGGCAGATGGAGTGGTCCTCCCTTCAGATCCTGCAACTCTGAGGAGGAGCACTGTGGGGTGGATGGCAGAGCTGAAACCACCAGTCATTGCAGACTCCCTTCGTTTATGGGAGTCACATGCTGGCTTTGTGTGGTTTCTGACCACCGGAGAAGAAAGGTATTGATCATCAAGGACTCACCAAGCTGCGGAGGACAGTCCTGTCATTGATTGTGGCTCCAAACTGCTGCAAAGCTGTTTTCTGGGCTCCCTCACTTAATGCCTTTTTCTAGCAGGCTCTTCCTGCCTCCCTCCCTACCTCTGCTGTAGCTCCAGCTGAGCTCTGCTCTATTCACAAGCCTTTAGCACTGCCTCCTGCTTAACTCCTTCGCTGCCAACTTTGCCCCCTTTTGCAAGGAGCTGCCAGCTGATAGGCTTCATCCTCCCCCTGATGTTTCACTTTGGGGTCTCAACGATTTGCTCTGAGGAGGCTGGGGAAATTTGCCGGTGGCTTTTGGAGTGAAACTGTAGAAGGCGAGACAACAGCTTTCCATTCATCCAAGTCTTTCAGCAAGGGTTAAAGAAAAACATGGAGCTTGTTTAAAAGGACATGCATGGTGTGCCTTTCTTGATGTGCATAATGCTGCTTTATTGAGGGTCCAAGAGGAGAGGTCTCTTCCTTGAGAGGAGGATGCTCGGAAAGATATAAGCAAGGGATATGTCAAGGTAGTAAGGTTGAAAATGAAGTGATGCAGCTCGGTAGGCTGTTCTGAGGATGCAAAACAGCTGAGAAGGTAAGCCAGAAGTCCACGTTAGCAACAGAGATACAGCGATGGGGAGATTTCAGAACATCTAGAGAACATCCAACTGGGGAAGGCGGATTTTGGAAAATTGTTTCAGTTCCAAAAAAGAAACCTCCAGGAAGGAGCTCAGCTACTGTTGGTTAAAGGATTGGATTCTGTATCTCCTATGCTGTGAAGGAGGACAAACATCTTTATGTTCTAAAAATCATACTTAATGAGTTAATTCCTCTCTGGGGAAAGAATGTCCCATGAACAATCATGCCAATACCACCATTGTCATGAACTATAAATCTCTCTCTCTCTCTCTCTCTCTCTCTGTGTAGTTAGGCATTTTCCTTCTCTACTACTACTTTTAGCACATACAAATAGGTTTTCTCCGGGGGGGTGTTTTTCAATCAGAAAAGGTTACTTAGGGAAAGAGCTGTGATCTTAAAGGAGGGCTGGAGAGAAAGATTCTGATCAGAAAGAGAATGAAAGGTGGGAATTGGAGAAATGCGAGAGCAGGAAGATTGAGAGTCACAACACTGGCGTAAGCAAAGAGAGGTCTGGAAGAGCTAATGGTGGGGGCAGAAGGAGGCAGCTGACCATGGACCCAAAGAAAATGCTGCTGGAGTGAAGGAAGGAAGGAAGGAAGGAAGGAAGGAAGGAAGGAAGGTAGGTTCAGAGATAGGAGGAATGGCCTCACCAGCCCCTCCATCACTCAGCCCTGCAAACTTGGGGATTTACTGGCAAACTCACACCTCAACATTTGTTGCAGTGCCAGAAGAATTTCAGGCTGTTTTCTCATCCCCATGTTTCCTAAATGCAGCACCTTCCCCAAGATGCCATCTTCTTCTGCCAACCAGGCATAGAGTCGGGTCCCCACAGAGATGGGGACAGGCCTAGGTTTGCCTGGGGCACAGAAAGCTGGTCCAGCTTTTCGCCAGAGGAGGGGATTTTCCCCACGCCATACAAAACTTCATCAAATGTCCCACGTGCAAAAGAGGCCACTTCCCTAATCTGAAAATCACCCCTGTGTTATTTCCCCCCCTTTGTTACTCTTTGGGTCTTTTGCCCCTTGGAAAGACCTCTGTGCTAAATAAGTAAGAAGATTTCAGACTCGCAGAATTATTAGAATTATTCTTCTCCAGCATTAGCTGCTATTGTTTTAGTTGTTGGGGGATAAAAACAAAAAGAACCCTGCAGATTAATGCTAGGGGCAAGGAGATTAAAAGATTAAAGAGGAAACGAGTACACAGTGCTGACTGAGTCGGCAATATGGCTTTCTTTCTCATCTCTTTCAGCAAGGACAGGTTTGCTTGGAGCTTTCTGCCCGAAAGTTTGGGATAAGCCTTGGGTAATGGACAAATCATTTCCACATCTCTGGGTTCCTAGAAACACACTTCCTGGAGATGGGATGGAGAATCTCTCACGAGGAGGCCCTTCCACCTCACTTCCTACAGCAGTGTTGTCCAAACGTGGCCACTTTAAGATGAGTGGACTTCAACTCCCAGAATT